GTTCTACCACCAGAACCATAGGCGAGCGTGCCGTTTGAACCAGCGCCGATATTATGGCTATAGCTCAACTCACCAAATTGCAACTTATTCATTTTTAGAAGCTCTTTTCTTTTTAATAAACCGCCACTTGTTTGGTTCCAACTTCCTATAATATTTAACCTTTTTAAAACACTATATCAGTTTACTCTCCCTTTCACAATTTTCTTTGCCTGGAATATTTTTTAGGTTAGTCTTTTCTAGGCATACCATATTTTAAAAAATGCATGTTTGTTGAAAATCGTATATCCATCAATATGGCTTATGACCAATAAGCTAATACATTGTTTATTTTAACATTTGTTTTTTTTTTGTTGTTTGTTTTTTGTGCACAGAGGAGTCGCAAAAACGCTGTGGCTTTCGTGGATCATCCACTCTTGGAATTCCTTACGACTCATCACAGGTATGTACAGTAGACAGGTTGTTTTCACTCTTAAAATGCATTTTTATTTTGTTGTTCATACAATATAGTGGATTTCAAAATCTTTTCTACAGGAGCCAAAATCAGGGTTGGGGTATGACTTCAGCCACATTGCAATGACCTACACTGCTCTTAGCTCCTTACTTGTTCTTGGTGACGACTTATCGAGGGTCAATAAAAATGCAATAATTACAGGTCTGCAAGCATTGCAGAAAAGCAATGGATGGTAAGTGGTGTTTGAAATGTAATAGCCAATCAAATCATTTTATTGTTTTTCAATTATTTTTTAGATTTGTATCACTATGTTCACATTTTTTCAATGTTCACCTTGTGCGTATGACAATAAAATATATATTATTTTATCTTTTTCTATTATATCTTAATGTGTCATTTAACTTTTTTCTGTAGCTACACTGCAACTCTTAAAGGCAGTGAGAGTGATATGAGGTTTATATACTGTGCTAGCTGCATCTGTTATATCTTGAATGACTGGAGGGGAATGGACCAAAACACTGCCACGGAATATATCAAGAAAAGTTTTGTATGTCAACAAATATTATTGTATTTGTTACCAGGGTTAAGTTCTGGTTTGTAAAGTAAAAGGGTTAAGAATGAAGGGATAGGCTGCAGTTCCTTGATTAGTTGAAGTAACAAAAAAACTCTTTTTTCTATTGGAAAGTAAAGCCAGGTACCCATTACGCATGACGGTCAATTCTATAGAGAACGCAATGCCACGATTGATCTATTTTAATGGCTATAGTTGAGACTGTCGCCAACAATCAGCAGACGCCGTTGCTTGTTCAGCACTCGCAGTTGGAGTCAATCATACGACGCTGTGAGCACCCAGCTTAAAAGATAAATCTTTAATAATTCATTGCTAAGAATATACTTAAGCCAACCTGACACCAGTAATAACTGTAACCACTGATCTCGCAAGCAATAGAATTATTTTAACCATAGGTGTAGATCCTGGGGGACTGGGGGATGGGGATATATCCCCCCCCCCAATATTTGACA